AGCTGTATATCAAGCACAGTGTAGAAAATTTAAATCAAAAAATGATATAAATTTATTATATCTTGAGCTCTACATTGAGGCCGACTGCAAGCAACATATTTATCATTCATATGTGGAACATTTATTTTCTATTACTCACAGAACGAAGTTACATTACTACTAAAATCAACCCACTTATTCTCTCTCATATCTTGCAGTCTCATTTTACATTTAAGCACCAAAAACAATACTTATAATATCTTGTTCTCCTCTTTACAAAATTTGTGATAGTTCAATAGTGATATCAAGTACATCTTTCATCAAATATAGACAAAAAGAAAATTCAAAGGTTTGTAATAATTCTAATAACACATATGCCTCATCTTTTTGTTCTGAGCTTACACCATCTTACAAAATAATTTTCAGAACATCAATTACTGTAAGAAACATTGTGATTAACCTTATAATTAATTTATAATGTGAACCCCATCGCGTATTGCCTGCACGCCTAAGAATTATTTCTTTATTTAACCATCTCCCAAGTAAAAATTTTCTACTTTGTAATTCATTTAATGTCTTCTCACGTTATAGTTCTCAGAGTTGATCATGATGCTTGTAAGAGACACCAACAAAATTAATCACACTAAAAATTAAAGTAAATAATAAAATAATCTTAATATAACTTTCACAACTGCAATCAATATTAATTAAAGCTGATGTGAGAAGCAATGAATGTAACGTGCTGATTTATTTTCATTCAGAAATTGAACCTTTACTCTTCTCTCATATTATTAGCTACATCATAACATAACATTGACCCCATATTCAAGAATTGCTAAACCATATGTTAAAAGGAGTTATTCAATTATCATTTTTTGACTATTCGCAATTGTATCTAGCATATGAGAAATTTCCAAAAAATATTCTACTATCTCATCTTTTTTGTCAACAAAACACACTACAATTGATCATTTGCTCTTTAGCAGATTTGTCAAGCAATTCATCAACTAAAATTAAGAAAACTTATCACAAATCTCATCATACATGAAGTTTGTGATTGCAATAGCAAATACTTTTGTAATATCTTTCTGAATATCATGTGCAATTAATTTTAAATTCTCAAGTGCATTTTTTAGCAACACATCTTATATGTATTTATTATGTTTAGCCATAAACAACACCAGTTTAAGAAAATTACTTTGATTTTTAGATGTACAAGACTCGTCATGTCCTCGGAAAGCTAGCCCTTATCTCAAAAGAAATATTATACAATTAACTGAAGTATTGAGGTATGTACGATATGCAATTGTAACTTGATCTGATAACTTTTAGAATACAAAACTAATATGTTGACTTTATTTCATTAGATTTTCATAACTTCACCTATCATTATGATGTACACTGTTATGACTTCCTACATAAAGATTAAATTTTTTTTTTCAATTTGAAAACTTATTTTTATTAAATATCTCATCCTCTTTGTTACCTCTACCATATATTCTGAAAAGATAATAATATAAATAATATGTTTTATCTTTATATATACTATACTCTAATCAATTAGAGTATTTGTCAAATCAAGTAGGATTAAAGCGTCTGTCTTTCATCATATATTTACTTTTTAAAAAATCATGACTAAGAGGTTGAAATAACTCTTGTTGTAAATATGTTCTACGAAATTCATCCCGAATGTTAGGATTAAAGTTAGTAATATAAATTCGTAGCCCTAGATCAGATGAACTATTTTTCACACTTAACTCCATATTTTTTTATAAATCAACATCCACTCGAATGCATTTTTATTTTGCTCTTAAACCTTATTGCTATTCTCATCCATATTATTTGATATTTTTGAATCCGAAGATCGCTTAAAATATCTTTTCATGATATTCAAACTTGTACTCAAAAATTCCTTAAGAGTAGATGTCTACAGTCTATTGTTATTCTATAAAAATATAAAGTTAAGAATTCAAATAAGATAACACATTCAAATAACTCAACAAGAACAAAACTACCAGAGAAAACTATATTTTGTAGACTACAATTTTACTAATGAAACAAAAATTATAGAAATAACACATGTAGACAAACATTATTAGGTTGAAAACTAAAAACGAGGTAGATTTCTCTAAGTTTTTCTTAGTGATTGTATTAAATTTTAGATGTGCAAAAATGTTGGTCATATTCTTTTTATTTTTGTGTTTTCTCAAGGGAGTACAAACCTATCCTTCACATCGGATAGATAATTTCATGCTCCTAAATAATATAGCCAAGGAAGCTTAAAAAATCATAAGTACAAACCTATCCTTCCTCACGACCCTTTGAGGGAGAAGGCTGGGCCTCACGATAATTTCATGCTCCTAAACTGAAATCAACGAAAAAAATACCTCTCGTTTGTTGAATGATGTTCACACAAGCGCATGCGTGAGGGCCGTGAGGCAACGGAGAGGCTGCGAAACTCACCAACACGCCTGAAGTTACTGGCCGACGACCGCAGTCTAGGCCTTGTGAAGCCATTTGCTGTCCATGTAAGTGCACGCATGAGGGATGCGAGATGAGGGAGAAGGTTGCGACTTGCGGAATGTCACGATAAGCAAAGTCACGAAGAGGAAAAAAACATTGAACAAGTAAAATTAGGGTTTAAATGATATAAACCTTCTTTTTTTTGGGTGGGAGGGACTTGCCCCCCTGCATCTGCCCTTGCTCTTAGCTGTAGTTAATGTTGGATGGATTAACTGAGTTCAACTTTATTTTGAGAAGCCTCATTTGCTAGCATCCAATTTACTGACGACACTTTTTTATTTTGCGGTGCTTTTAAAAAATAAGTTCTCTATCTTAAGCATATTCTCTCTAAAGCTTTAAGGTATGCTAGATTTGAAAATCAATTCTTCTAAATCTTTATTAATTTAGCTTAATAATTATCATTGCATAGCTTCTTGCTACAGTATTTTGATGTTCCTTGGAAAAACCACATTTTAAGTGTTTGGGTAATCATCTTAATATTAAAAGATTACAAAAATCCTTCCATCGACAAAAATCGCCTTAAGCTTGTATATTGGAAAAATAATAATTGTTCAAAGGGGGTAGGATTATTATCATTAACTCAATCCTGACTTCTATTCATCTATACTATCTTTCTTTCATTTAGATTTCCAAATGGGTGACAAGTTAAATTTAGGGCATTTAAAGAAATTTTATGTCGAAAAAAAAAAAAAAAAACATATGCTAATGGTCTTAATAATGTTTGAAAGAAAAATACTTATAAGCTTAAAGAATATGGTGGGATCCATTAATATTTATATTCTTAGCAAATGAATGGGAAAACCTTACATCCTAATGATTCTAGTCTGACAAGTTATGTCATGAAAAAGAAGTATATTGCCTATGAGGCCCTACTGCTTATTGCTTCAAGAAGGCTTCTTTCGCTAAATCTTTCATATTCATTATAGGTTTTGGAAACTTTGTTCAACCCTTATCAATATTGCTTGGAATGTTAATATGAACAAGCAAATTCTAGCTAGATAAATGGATTGAGGATTGTCCTCTTGCTATCACTTTCAACGAGCTTATTTTGTTTCTTAGAAGCCCTTGGGCTTGGCTAAATCTTAATGGCACATCCAATCGAAAACAAACTTTTATTTTTCATTTATTCGATGATGAAATTTTTCTTATTCTATCATCAATACATTTCACTTATCAGGTTCAAAAGATAAAGTATTACTGGCTTCTTTTAAATGGTAATTTCCCTCAAGTTCATGATAAAAAGGGACATCTTTTCAATGAATATGGAATCCAATTATTCCTATTAAGATCTCCATTCATGATTGGTTGGATGGTTTGCATAAGAAGGTTTCCAAGCAAAGTTCACTTTAACAAATTGCGCATTATCAATTCTCCTTTTTGTAACATGTGTAATATTGTTTTTGAAGATGATTTTCACCTCCTTTTTAATTGGGTCATTAGCAATATTTGGAAGAGAATATATCGTCCATCTGGTATTCCTTCCTCTAAGCTTATAGGAAGTATCCATTTAGCTTTGACATCACAGAGTTCAAACATAACAATAATGATTTGGCTAACCTTTGGAATATCTTCTTTTTAGCAACAATTTGGATTGTCTACAAATAGCAAAATGGTAGAATGTTCATCAACAAAGTAATTTGCGTTGACATTTTCTCCTTGGTTTAATTCTGCATTGATCAGGGTAAAAAATGGGATTTAAATTCCATTTTGGATTTCCTCTCATGGCCGGATTCAACATAAGGCCTTTTTCTAATTATTTTTTAATTTGTTTTTTTTTTTTCTAATGAAAAGTATGTCCCAACTTGTTCACTAAATAAAAAAGAATAAAAGGTAGAAAGAGGGACAAAGGAGAGTTAATGGTCCAATTCTATCAATGAGAAAAATGTGGACACATACCAACCATAAAATACCAGACTTCTGGTGCCAAATGGAACACATGTTTTTCTAGAATTCACTAGTGATTATCAGAACCAAGTACCTAGCTATAGAGATATATAATGGAGCAAAGCAATCATAAGAAAATCAAAGTAGAATAGCTCTTAAAAAAAATAGAAATCTTCAACGCTAAATTACTCGAGCTTATTAGAATCTAACAATGCTTGAATATGAACATTTAAAAAGAACAAGAAAACATTAGATCAATATTAAAACAAAAAACATATTATAAAAAGATTTATATCCTTTTCTATGAATTATTTAAGGGGCAGTTTGAGATCAATTTTATTTTATTTTATTAATGTTTTGACATTAAAAAACATATATTTTGTATTTTAAAAATATGTTTTGTTTAGTATGCAGTGGTGGTGTAAATCACCGGCGGGGCAACACTAACGCTTGGCAGCGGCGGCCCGTAATGATAGTTTTTCTTTTGAATATTTTTAAAACTTAATTTTTTGTAAAATAAAAATAAAAACACTTAAAAACCTCATTAAACAAACATGCTTTAAAAAAAAAGTGATGTCAAACAAAACTTTAGGATTATTAGAATAGTTACTAAACTAGACAATGAATCATCAAAATTCAGGAGATATGAAAGAACAATACCTCCTCTGAAAGTTGAAGCTGCTATCAGTAAAATAAATACTTCCATCCTCATCAATATCTAAATCATTGGTAAACTTAAATGGGACACCTTCTGCCTCTGTGGTCAGCGGTGTAGCCACCCCACCTTCTGGGCCTACCTTCAGCAACCCAAAATATGCATCAGCAATATAAAGGTCTCCAGTTTTCTTGTTAAAACGAAGACCCAATGGCCGCCCACAGATGTGTTCATTTTCCAAATAGCTAAAAAGTGATGGTTTCGGGTCACATAGCCCTGACCTACTCATAAAATAAAGCCAATTTCGTTGTTAGGGATCCGAACAAAGTAAATTAAACAAAATTCCCAAATAAACATAGCGATGTTGCCCTGGATCCGAAATGGCCACCAAATATTTCCATGCAATTCTAATTATGAGTTTGTTTGGGATGACTATAACTTTTTATAAAAATGATTGTAAAGTTGAAGTAAAGAAAACAACTTTTTTGAAAGTAGTTTCCAAGCACCAAAATTTATTGAAATCAAATAAAAAAAAAGGTTAAACAAAAATTATGATTAGATCCGAAAAGCGAAGCATCAAGAAAGTTGTTCCAAATAAAACCTAAATCTAGAAAACTTCAAATTGTGGGGCTGTTTGGGGGCAAGTAGGATTTAGTAAACTCCAAAATGAACTAAGCAATCAAATAAAATCCACTGCTAAACCACATCATCACAAACTGTGGAATAAAAAATCTTGATTAAAACTTATTTAAAATTGAAGGATCTGTGGTCTATTCGGAGAAAATTACTCTAATTTTAAAACCCTAAAATCATAGATACGAATTCTATATTTTACAATTTATTAAAAAAAAGTAGAAAAAGCATATAGACCTGTTCTGCGACGTGTAGGCGAAGTCTGACCAGGACTCGCCGTTCCAGAACAAGATCCGGCCGTCAGCAACGCCGGTGTAGGGCCCGCGGCCAAGGGGGTCGAAGGTGATGCTCTCCGGCCCCTGGACCTGGTTTACAAACCTCAACTCCGCTTTCTGAAGGCGGTTCTCTGCGTCTCTCGCCGCCGGAAGCTCCGACCACGGCGGCAGCTCCACAGGGTAAACTTCGAAGCCAGGAAATTTAGCCATGGGACGGTGATTGAAAGGGTCTGTGCCGCAGTAGAGCGCCGCAAGGAGAAACAGACCGGCTACAATAGGCCCAGCGAGTGCCATCGCCGACGGTCTCTGAGGCTTTTCCCGCGAATACCTTTGGCGGCTTTGTTGTTTCACCAGTGAAGTAGCTGAGATTCGGCCAAATTCGGAGACGGATACCTCAATGTTTTGACGTAATGCGTGACGCAAAATGCACGGAAAAATTGAAAGCTTGGTCTAAAAACACATATCGAAAGAAATTTTCATAAAAATTTTAATTGATGACTATGGCCTACTTTAAATAATAATAATAATAGTAATAATAATAAATTGATGTTTGAAGAGCACTTAATTCCCTATTATGAAAAAATAGTGCTAAATTGGAGTCTAAGTCAATAAAGCTCATTAGGCCATGCATCACATATTCATTATATAGAATTTTGTGATGCAAGTTTATTGGGGTTTACAAATAAAATTAGAAAGAGTTGGTATTGTGGGATCACAACATTGATTCACTGAAGACTTATGGACAAGATTAATTATGTCAAGGGAAATGGTCTTGCGATAGGAGGGCTTGTCAATGAGACTAATGGCATGTGAAGAGGAGAAGATTTAGCGACATGAGCTCAGTGGAGTAGACAACGATGTGTCTGATGGTAAGGAGAAGAGAAGGCTTAGTGAGGAAGGGATTTCGAGAACGGCAACATGAAATGAGCTATCTAGAAAATGCATTATGGGATTGATATGTGCGCAAGAAGATTTGAATGAAGTTCAAATTATGTTTGTACTTTTGAGCAGTATTTCTAATAAGATTTGATAATCAAGTTAGTCTATGCTGACTAAAAAAGAATTTTACTTATATAAAAGATGAGTAATTTAACTCAAAAAAAATTATTTTTTAGCATATTGATTTAAGAAAACAAAGTTAAGATATTTTTCTCCAATTGTGCTTATTACAAGGCATATTTGGTCAAAATTTTCAAACAAATCCATCTTACCTCATTCTAATTTTTTAAGTTATATGTTGCACACTTTATTATTATTATTATTTTGATAATTTTTTTTTATAAATTATTTTGGAGAATTTTATAGGTGATTAACTTAAGAAATTAGATTGATCTTTTGTGATAACATGTGTTGCTATAACTTTTGTGATTAAGGTTAAATATTATTTTTGAATAGGAGGATACTTCATCTCAACCAGTATGAATCTTAAGGAGTTTATAATCAATCTTTGAAGGTATGTTTAAAAGGATTCATTTTTAAACCATCTTTCAGTGGATTATAATTCTTAAGTATATTACATAGGCATCTATTAATCTGCTCTTGAAGATGATGTCATCAATATAAAAATCAACCTGATAATATAAAAAGTTAATGAAATTTTGAGTCATAACTTGTTGATCATAGGTAGTATGAATATTCTGCGGATATAGAAATCTTCTCGAATAAACCCAACAACAATTAACTTCTTGGCCTCTTCAATAACTAACTTCTTCATATTAGGATGCACTATTTTTAGAGTGCTTACTTAACATAAGTTAAATTAGAACCAAGCAAAATGATCTTAACAACCTCTTAAAACTTGAAGTATTTCTTGAAATAAGCTTTATGAAAAAAGCTTACTAATAAAGGTGGGATGAGAATAATTCTTTGTACTGAAATTTATCTCAACTAACTCATTAAAAGTAGACATGATCTTATTCTTAAGACCATTTTGCTAATAAGCTTATTAATAAAGAGTGTTAATAATTTTTTTAATTTTAGTTTCTAATATATTAATGACTTTGATATATATACTATAATAATTTGAATTAGAGATCATTTTATACGTTGTATGTAGTATTGTAGCTTTTTTTATTTAGATTTTCTTACAAAAACTAAACTTCACCTATTTTGTCAATTTTTATTTTTAATGATTTTTAATAGATTTTAACATTACATTTAAATCATTTATTAGAAACTCTTCTTTATTAAATATTTAACAATTAAAGGAGATGAAAAGTAAGAATGAGAATATCTTTTATTTTATCAAAAAATAAACACTCGTGTAAAATTGCATCATTAATTCTATAAATTTATATACTATAGAAAAGCGGCAATTTCTTGATGATAGTTTTTTCGGGGCCATAAATATAATCTTTAAGATAGTAATTGAAGATGCACTATAAGAAGGCAAGTCACTTCTATGATATTGTGATCGTGTCTCGATAAATAATATCTCATTCAATGAATCAATTATAAAAAAATAAGGGTATTATAATACTATTAGGGCATCAACGTTAGGGAGCACCTTCTTGCAAGAGCCATCCCTTAATATATTTTTTGAAATAGTATCCCTTAGTTCAAAAAATTAGGATTATCTTCAAGTAGATGGATTTCCTCATCACCCTCATTTGAAGAAATGAATTTGAGGTAACTTCTCTAAAAGAGAGAGTGGAATAATTATTTATCTCTATATATGACCTATAGGAAGTACTAACTTAGACTCTTCTTCTACTATCCATCCATCATCCCCCTTTGGAAGAGTGGAAAAGAGACGATAGATGCTTGGATGATAAATTTGGTTTTAGGGAAGCAGAATGAATTGAATTGGCTTTTTTTTTTACACAAAATATTATTGACATATGTGTGTGTGTCTGTGTGTGTCTTTCACATAGTAGAGTTATTTCATAAGGGGATGTAGTCGACGAGCGATAATGGTTGGAGGGATCATAGTCGGCGGGCTAACATAGTCGAAGGGACTGTAATCGATTGGTGATGGTGGTTATTGAGATCGTAGTCAGTAGGTGATGACAGCCAGACGGAGGTCCAATGGCGATGGTTGGGCAGAGGCCCAATAGTGGAGGCCTTGTGGTGAGGATTCACTGATAGTGGTGTCGAGGTGCAACTCTAGGATGTTTCATGACTCAGAGCTCTCTTAAGTCTCTAGCCCAAAGTCTAAGGCTCCAAAAGTCTAAGCCTTTTTTTATGTGGGGATATGAGGTCTATTTATAGAATTTGATAGTAGCATACTCTATAAATTTGAAGAAGATATGGATCAAATTTGGAGTGTTCCATCAAACATATCATATTGACTCCCTCGATCATGGAATATTTTTTAGCATTTAAGTGCCTTAATGATGTTAAAATTAAGTGATCTTGGGCTCTCCTTGGATTTGACTATAAGCATGCTATATTTGGATAGCATTTCTTTATCCAATTAATGCTTTGAACCTGCCAAATATGCTCAGTCCCTTGATTTATAACCATTTGGGCTCGGATTGGATTAATTTTTGTGTTGTTGAGTTTATCTCATTGAGATGCTCAATTTGACTATAAATTTGATAAAATTGAAGTTTGAATTATACCAATTTTAATTTTTAAAGTTGCCAATTTGAATATGCTTCAATATTCGTGCTCAATCAAGGTAAATTTTTAGTGGCTTATCAGTTGCCCTTTCTATTTTCTTATGTCAAAATTTATTAAATTTAAATATATATGTTTGAGTCTTCTAAAAAGTTTTGAAATAATATTATAATTTTCAAATAATTATGAGGCGTGATCACTCCCTTGACATTAACGTGAGCCTCCTCTCAGTATCATGAACCAAGTAAAATATCATCGATCATAATTTTATGCATAAGTGGGAAGTTAAATACCAACAAAAAAGGATTTGCCCTCTTACATAGGCTCTAGTTCTCTTCCGTAGAAGGAGGGAACAACTATCTAGCAAGAGTTGAATATCTTTAATCTCCGATAAAATCCTAGTTGTCCTCTTATGCAAGCTCCAATTCTCCCCCATAAAAAGAAGGAACAACTATCCAACAAAAGTGTAAAGACTGTCAATCTCTGTTAAAAGGTCAATCCTCTTATGCAAACTCCAATTCTCCCTCGTAAAAGGAGGGAACAAGTGTTTGATAAGAGTGTAAAGATCATAATCTCTAGTAAATACATGAACCTCTTACATAGGAAACCATGAGTGTGTGCTGATGATGGTAATTGGAGGGTGTGCCGATGATAGTGGTTTGATAAAATGGGTCAATAGTGGTTGTTTAAGGCACAAGCTGACAGTGGCAATCACACTAAGGGACTATGATGTCGGTAGTTAGGTTGCATTCTATTGAAGGTAATATATGCATCCAAACATATGGGTTATTAGAAAACTTCAAAGCTAGTTGAGTTCAAAATACAAAATGATGCTTCTAGATGCAAGGTGCTTGATTCACTACTTTGATATTATGGTCATGCCTTTTAACTTAATGAAATTGCTCTAGCTTCTCTTTGTAAACAAATATACTAGCATTTGTCTAGGGTGAAAGTGCAATGGCTCTAGAGACATTGCTAAGACTTGGTGATGATGTAGAACTTATCTTTAGGTAATTGCTGCTTGATATTGTTAGAAGATCACCTAGAGCACAATTGCCAAACAAATGGAAGCTCATGGATGCATGAGAGATATGAGTTGAAAATCTTGTAAAGAATTTTTCTTATCATGCTCCCCTTATCTCTTCTTATTGTTAGTTTTGTGTCATTTATGATACACTTTGCTATCTTTAACCTCAGTTGAATTCTATTTATCTGATGGCTAACTCTTTTCATTTCAAAGTTCTAAAAAAGGCTGCTATGCAGATGCATTGCCTTTGGTCGCAATTGTGACCCATTTATCAGCTAGAGTGAGGATGGTTATAATTGTCATGCTTCATTTTAACCCTCTTTTTTTTATTAAAATTCAAGGAGAGGCCTACGCATTAATAAAAAAAGAAATTACAAGTCTATATAGGGATTATAAGCTCACTAATGCTAAAGAGTTACATTAAAAAGCAAAAAAATCTAATAGCTAGCGATCCCAACTAAGTACAAGAAAAAAAAAAAACTTGGGAAAAAAGCTAGGGTGCCAGGAGCCAACACCAAAAAAAAATAGGAGATCCAACATAGAGCTTTCAGTATCATCATCCTGCAAAAATGAGTGCCTGCAGCAACCAACCAAAAAATTCAAGATCTGCCAGAAAATGGACCTGCAAAACCAGCTGAGGCGAATCCAACAAAATGAAATCATAAAGAATAATAAACAACAAATAAAGGAGCCCAAAAGTATATCCAGAACAGCCAAAACTATAAATTATCAAAATAAACTTACGAGGAAGCCATTCTGAACGGACAAACAGCAGTAGAAATGAGAACAACCGGAAGAAAACTAACTCCAACCAGC